GCTTAAATGCCTGCAGAATAATTTATTGGTATTTGTGGCAGGAAAGTTTACTGGCCACATCCAGGGCTGTTTCTGGATGATGTGTTGCATTATTAAACTGGGATTTTATGACAAGTATCTGCCCGCGTCTGAAAGAGAAGCTGTCAAACCCTTTGTCACTAATGAGGAGCCACTCCCTGGATTGATGATAATTGAATGCTTCCCAGAAATAAAGATCATTCACCTCGCTAGCCATTGTGCTTAACGGAGCTGGGGCACACGCACAATGTGCGGTGTAAGAGGCAGTTTGCTGAGCTCCGGGACCTGATCCTCACGGAGGCAGGAGAGGTGATGGCAAGGCAAAGCTGGACCGTGGCGGGGGCCCTGCTCCTGCACCAGGAATGGGATGCACGGAGACCCGGAGCCGCGGGCTGGCAGCGCCCGTCTGGCAGCCCGAGCCCTGCCAGCCCCTGCCGGCTGGGACGGCGCTTCCGCGAAAAAAAAGTAAATGGGTTGTTTATGAAAATCCTGGCTGGGGCTGTTTATCCCTGTCGGTGAGGGGAATGGTTTGTGTTTGGGGAGGGCGGGACAGCCGGCGGGACGGATAATTCGATTTGGGTTTTGGCAGGGGGCAGGGAAGAGGGTGGGCCTGGGAAAGGCCGTCGGCCCTGGCAGGGGATCGCGCCGGCTGCCCGGGCAGGTCACGCCTCGGCCTCCGCCCCGCCGGCACGGCTCCCCCGCTGAGGAAGGGGGGGCCTGGGCGGCTCCGGTCCCCCCGGGGTGCCACGGAGCGAGTCCTCGAAAGCGTCAGCACTAACACACAGGGCCCTCTGGCCAGGGAATACGTGAGCGCCGTCTGACAGCAGCACCGAGGGGGACCGGCATGACGGCACGTCCCGAGGGCCGCGTCCGTCCGTCCTGGCCGCATGACTTCATCCACCTCTGAGTCATCCCCAGGGTGGGCAGGCGGCTCCGCCGGCCGCCCATCGCCAGCAAGAACGGCAGCGGCTTGGCCTGGCGGGACAGTCACCCACCTCCCCACCCCGGCACCGCGTGGGAGCCCCACGGCTTCTCCCCCCCCCGGGGAATTCACCCGCACCGCCGCCGGAAGCATAACCACGGCCACGCTGGCAACGCCACTCCAAAAATCAAAGCGAATCTATTCTGGAACCAAAACCCCGCACTCCGCACGGAATAATTATGTCGAAATAGAGTCACTTTTCTTCCAGCACGGTTTCAGCCCAACACTTGCGCTACCACAGCCCGGCTGAACAGCTTGCCCAAAGAGCGAAGCACATGGCGCTAATTGCCTAGTTTCAATTTTGGTGCCCCTCGCTACAGAATTAGGGGCGTTCGCAGAGAGATGCTCTTTGAAATACCCTGAAGAGCGACTGCGACAGCCCCCCAGGCAACACATCCGTGCAAGGGCCTTTCATTACAAGCTCATGCAAATTTATGCTTATTACTGTACATTGAATATTGGATCAAATCGTTTTACCATGACTCAAACTTTTTTCTTTTTTTCAATGAGAAATTACACACTTGGAAGTTATTCTTCTTCCCATTGATTCCCCCCTTTCAGGGTTAAATGGCATTTACCATACCCGTACACAGAGGATTATTTTAGAAAGGATCTTCATCTCAGGAGCCTGAATATTATGCATAATGATCCATCAGATGCGTGCGCCTTTCATTCATCGGCAGTGGGGAGGGCGGCGTGCCGGGAGCATGCGCCCTGCCTCCGAGCGGGCGGCTGCTCGGTTTTCTGACAAACTGGAAGCAGAATCATGTGAAGTCCCCGCTCTTGGCAGGAGATTTTTAGCAATAAGTAGCAGCTTTATGAGGAATATCCTTTGCCAGGGGACCATCAGCCAGAGAGCAGTGGGATTCTTATTTTTTAATGGACTTTTAATAAGTAGGCCACAATGATAATCTTGACACCAGAGCCAGCTTTATTTCTATGTGTAATTATCTCCACTTCATTCTCAAGCTCCCTGCAGCCTCCAAGAGCAAATAAGACCCCCAACCTCTCCGTGAGAAAAAGAGCAAGAAAACAGCGTAGGGCCACTTGAAACGCTATTTGTATCAGACCTCATCCGCTCCTCTTGTCCAATATAAAAGCTAACATCTTCTCTAAATCAATTGAATCTCACTTTTGGTGTTTAGCTGCTTGAACCCTTACCAGCAGGAAAATCCATGCTCGGAGCACAGGCAGTGCTGGGAATGTGGCGCCGTGTCTCCCGATGCTGCAGGAGGACCGTTCGCAGCCCTGTCTCCTCCCTGCACGCTGCCCGTCCCCGTGCTGTCCCACTCTCTGTCCTGTCCTTCAACCCGTCACCGTCTCCAGTGGCTGAGACTGGGCAGGTGAAGGCAGAGCCCCTGGCACTGGGACAGCCCAACGATGCCCCTCCCCGGTCACAGGATGAGGGACCTACACGGGGTTCAAAATAATCTGGGACCCCCTGGGAACAAGCAGGGAGGACGCACAGCCAAGGTGCTGGCTGAGCCTCTGGGATGGGTTATTCCCAAATGAGCACATCTTCTGCAGACACAGGCAGAATTTGACCTGCTTCTGAAGAGACTCACTAAGCAAAAATCCGATCAGGAGCATCCCTCCAGATCTCCCAGTATCTAACCCCCTCTGTGCTGCTCTGTGCAGCTGCATGCTGACCCAGACTGGCCTGGGAAAGCAGGTCCCACCAGCACCACTCTCAGAGGAGACCCTGGCTCCCCCAAAGTGGGGTTCTGGGGTGCAAGGCAGATGCTTCACCCCTCCCACCGGCTCCTGGCAGGACCTGTACAGAACATTCCTCCCTTTGGTACCTGAAAATCTCACCCTAAGCTGACTCCCTCCCCAGCACAGCCTCCCTCTCTGGCACGGACCCAGCCAGCCTCCGCTGCTCCCCTGCACAGCAGCGTGCCCCTCCCAAACCTGCACGCAGCCTCACATGAAAACAGATGCAAGCAACGTATGGAAATACCAGGGGCTATCACAGCACAAAATGTGCATCCCAGGATCCCCTACAATCTCTGGGGGAGAGCTGCTCCAGGCTGGATCGTATGCAGCAACTCTTGTTCTGCAGCTCTCTCCTACTGCTATTCGTGCAGCCAGCCTTTGGCTTTAAAGCTTGGCTTTCAACACCCTGCCTTCCACCTGAGCATTAAACAGTCTCGGGAAATATTCACTGCTTCACTTTCTCCCAGAATCACGGATCTGATTCTTCTTTCAAAATCAATAACGTTCAGGTTGAGCTCTGCTCCAGTGGAGGTGCAATCCGCTCCCTTCCGTGCCCAGGAGCCTCCCTGTTACTGATTTACAAATATTGCTGTCCCCTTCTTCCAAAAACAGTCCTGCCTTTTACTACGGTCGATGCAGCAAGTCCCTGTGTCCAACGGCTGGCACTGAACAAGGCTCCAAACGGCAGCACATGATCTCCACTGCCCAGGCTGGACCAGACTCATCAGTAAGGGAATGCATCCTGGGAAGTGTTGCAGCTCACAATGTTTTGGATACTTTTAAAAACCAAAATACAAATAGTACCTCCTGGGTGCAGGACCAGCAGGTCTGTGGCTGCAGGGGTAGGTAGACAGATGCAGAGCAGAGCGTTAGATTGCCTCTCTCCCTCCACACTTGTTACTTGTTCAACTGAGCACTGAAACCAGAATGAGCTGTGCTAAATCTCTCCACTGCTAACAAGAAACAAATGTGGCCTCATGTTCTAGTTGCTGTGATCTAACAAAACAGACCATGGTAAACACTATAAAAATGTACTGGAGGGAACCACCCTGTGTTTGCTGGGAGAAGGACTGGATAATCTAATAGGGCTTTATCCATCTCTAATGTCTCTGAAAAAAAGAAGGGAAAATTGGGCCCTGTCCATGACATTCGTCATGTGCTAGCTATTCTGATGTCTTAATGCTGCAGAAATCAAATTGGAGCGAGGCTACCTATCTGCCTCCCAATCAGGATCTAGACCCAAGTGCTGCTTTTTATGGCCATGCAGCGTGAAGAGCTGCTGATGTCAGTGGTGGCACAGGCCAGGCCAGTTTTTCCATCCCTATCCCCATGCTATCTGGAGAGATACTCCCTTTGTGGTCATCTCACTCTCCTCATGACGTGGATAATTGCTCACTTTACAGACCTGGAGATCCACCAGCGGGACCTTCCTCTGGCTGAAAGCATTTGCAGGAACAAGGTACCTGCCCAAGAGGTTAGCACTTATCTGGGTACCCGGGTACTGCGGTACCAGCAGCAACACTGCATGGTCATGTCTAGATTTGTATCTTGGCCATGGCAACGGCAAGGGCTGATTCAGTCACATACCCCCAGGCATCTCGTGGTGCCCTAGGTACCTGCCCAGCCCTTAACCAAAGGGTTAAGGGTGTCCTCTAGCTTCAGCACCAAATCTGCCAGCCCACACGGGGATCTCGGACACGCTCTGGCACTTCAGATGGATTTATATGCCTCTGCTCAGGCAGCAACTAGAAGTCACTCCCACCCAAGTCACTCTCCTCCCATACCTTTACCTTTGCCCGTAGGAAGAACCTCCGGCAAGCTCTGCAAGGCAGGAGCACCCCAACCCAGCCCCCAGGAGGCCCATTCCCCCACACCAGCTGCCATCTCCAGAGGGGAGAAACAGGCCGTGCTCGGTTCTCACACAGAGCCACAGGCTGCATGGGCAACCCTGTGCTACTCCTGACGCCTGGCCAGGTTTTCTGCATTCAATCCATCCCCTTTTTCAAGCATCCTGGGTTTGTTGTTTGCTTTTTTAAAGCTACCGTGACCTTGGCACGGAGATGGACAAACATCAACTGCCAGAAAACGGCACGTTCTGAAAAGCTACACAGAGCAAAACCACAGCCCCATTGCAGTCTGCAAGCAAGATCTCCATCTGGGAGGGGAGAAAAGCGGCATTTGGGGCGCTCAGAGAAAGTACTGCTGAAAAGCTGCAAGTGCAAAGCGCTGCAGCTCCTTGCTCAGGCTGAGGGACGATGTTTCCACGCGCTCCTCCAGCTCTTACCTGGCTCTTCCCGCGCCGCCGGTAATTCCGTCTCACAAGGTTCTTGTAATTCTCATTCTTCTTGGTCAGGTAGTAATACAGGACGCAGTCTGCCACTGTCTGCAACGACACGGGCGAGTCAGGGAGCAGCAGGTCCCATCCCCTCGCGCTGGCGGGGCGCAGACTCACAGGAGCAGCGTTCAGGCCCCGCCATCGCCAGGTCTCCTGCTGCTTCTGAAGATCCGCAGCCCAAACAGGCTTCCCGGCACCTCCCTCCCACAGCCCTTCGGTGGAGCTGGAAGAGGGGAGCAATGCATGCCGTCCTAGTAAAAAGGGACAGACAGGGGCTGTCCTGCAGGCATGCCGAGATGGAGATGGGGGTGCAGAGCAGAGAGCACCCCGCGTCGGAAGCAAAGCAAGGGGAAGGGCTGGCCCCAGATGACTGTGGCAACTAAAGGCAGAAGAAGGAGAGCCGCCTGTCACCCTCTGTTGTGGTTATGCGAGGAACAACCTGCCACACAACTGTCAGCTACTGTTATTTCTAGCCACTAAGCCCTCTGGCTTGAGCGCGCACGACCTTCTCGTGGGCAGACTGAGATCCCGGTGCTCAAGAGCTGCCATCCCAACTCCAACTCCAGCGCTTGGCTCTGCAAATGCCGGCCCAGATCGGACAAGTTTGGAAAACGAGGAGCCGTGGTCAGAACTATTCTGCTCCTTAACAGCACAGAGCATGCCATGCTGGAAAAAGTCCTTCGCTGAACTGGGTGAGCACCTGAACACCGGTCTTGGGGTACACCTTCATATCCAGGATGACAGCAGTTGCATGAACAGAAATAATCCCCACAGACCCACCACGCCTGCAAGTGCCCGGGAGCAGGGTGCTGCTGCATGCTCCCAGGGGGGCACGGGGGCTGCGCTCTCCCCATCCCCGTGCAAGGAGTGGAACCATTTGCAAAAACAGATTGCAAGTTTTAAAGTGTTAATTGGATCTCTTTCTAATCTAGCCCTGATTATACACACACACGCGAACACAAAAACTTACAGTCATCTGTTCCAAGGGCTAAGATCACTATTTTTTATAATGCAATTTAAAAATCTATTAATTCATTACATTGAGCCATACTTTGCGTCTCTCTCCAACAGGATAATGGATGTGTTCTGTATCATAATTACACCCTGATTTACAAACGAGTACAAATAAAATTAGAAGACATTTTACAGCTTGGAACACAGACTGGATTGTGAGCATCATCCAAGTCCCACCGCTTTCGGCTTTAACAAGTGGGAAAGGCTGAAAAGAGCTTGGGATCTTACAGTGACAACAGTAGCACGAGGTTGCTGCTGGCCTTTGCTTGTTTGCTGCTTTAGAAAGGAAAGTGAAGGTCTTATAAATTATTTCCCCAGCCTGAGTCATGCAGAATTAGAGAATAATTTAGGCTGGAAGGGACATCTGCAGGCCACCCTGCTGAAAGCAGAGGGGTTTCCCCGGAGCAAGTGGACACTGCATAGATGAAACACTGCATGAGATGGGCAGAGGATGCAACTAACTACAAGGTCCAGAGAAGAAGCAGCTCTCAAGTGTTTCTTGCTCAGGAGAGCACCTGGTCCATCGCTGTCCTTCCAGGCCAGGTATGTCTGGGATCTGCCCATACGGCCTCTCCCATAGGTGATACCTGGCTTGCTTAGAATAGTACCAGAGACTCGCTCTTCCTTCAGATCTCCTTTTCAAACCTCTCCTCCATCAGCCCAAGTAACAGCAAAAAGGAAAAGTCCAAAAAACACAACACAGAGCCTTGGGAAAGGTCAGGCCCTCCTGCTAGCCAACTATTCCTAAACAAGGGTGTGTGTGTGTGTGCCTACCTGACACCAACCCGAACTGCTGGACAAACCGGGACTCAGCCTTCCCTCAAGATCCCCTCCCTGAGCGAAAAGGGACCCCTCTGCTTTGTGTTGGGCAGCTGAATGCCCGCATCCCCCGTGCGACAGCCTGGCTGGTGCAAAATGCCTCCAGGAGATGCTGGAAAGCAGCTCCCCCAGGCAGATCACGGGGTGGGCTGCAACGCCTACGCGCCAGGCTGGATGCGTTCGCACATCTCGCGGCGCTGAGCTCCTTGTCTCTCTGCGGCTGAGTCAGTCCCTGGTCTCTGCAGGGAGCCAGGAGGTGCCTGGACCGTGCCCGGGGCTCTGAGCCACCAGCACCCACAGGTGCCCAGCACCCACTGGCTGCTCCAGCACCGAAGTGAGCTACGGGATGGAGAAAAGACGGTGCGAGGCAGGTTAAAGCCAGGCAGGGAGGCTTACCTTCCTGTCCAGAAAGGATGCGATCAGGCCAAAGTTCTTTGGATGCTGCATGAACCTGTGGGAGCGAGAGGGAGAGGATTAGGGAGGGTGCCAGCTCCGACCCCCCTCACTGCTGGGCTGCCTGGCCATGTGTGCCCAGAGCAGCGAGGCCAGCTCCCCAAGGGGCTTAGGAGTTTGAGAAAATCTTTGTCTACTGTTCAGCTTCCCAGAAAAACAGGAACTTTAAGTTTAGCCCAGTGGAGCCAGCTTGGTTGGGAATTTCGATGTGCAGATGTTCATCGCGGGGTGGGAGAGGACAGGGGGGCTGGCAGTGCCCAACAGCTGCCCATCACCCCGCTCCATCGCACGGCCACCCAAGCCCGCACCAACGGCAGGACGGGCACCAAGGACAGCTGCACACCAGGCCGAGGCCTCAGGATTTGACAAGGAAAAGGCGAGGAAATATCATCAATGGCTGAGCACAAGCACCCCGCAGCACAGCCGGGGGTGCCCCTGCCGCTGAGCAGGACCCCGGGCCCGGCTGGGCTTTTGGGAGCTGCTGCAAAGGACGGGAAAGGAAACCCAAACCCCGGGAGGAAGCATAGAGCTGCCACGTTACTGAATTGCTCAAGAGATCCCCAGTGGCACGGTGGCTCTGAGGAATGCTGCCTCCTGCCCAGGAAAAAGAGGAGCTGTCAGCAGGCTCGCCTGTGGCTCCGGCAGCCCAGGAGGGAGCATTGCCCACCGCGGGGAAACTGTCCCGGGCCACAAAGGCATCTCCTCCAACAAATCCCTTGGCCCAGCTGGTGGGGAAGCGCTGAAGGCCAGCAAGCCCTTGGCACGAGGTGCTCCTGCTGGCAGGAGGACAGTTACCCGGTGCAAAGCGCGGGGAGCCCGGTGAGCAGGGTCTCTTGTGCCAGGGCTGGAGCTCAGCGCTGGCCCCCACGGAGAGGCTGCCACCGGCACGGGCTCTGCCCCGGGGAGCGGAGTGGCCAGGGCCAGCCCCGTGCAGCTCTGCCAGCTCCCAGGAGCTGAGGGCTCTGTGGCCTGGGGAAATGGATCAGAGGCAAAAGGCGGGTGAGCTGCGGCGTGGGTGTAACACGGGCGGGAGGTGGTGAGTAGCTCAGGGCCTCCAGCCCTGCTGGTGATTCCCCCTGGGGCTGCTGGCTGAGCTCCCTCCTCCGGCCTTCGGTGCTCAGCCCCGCCGCCACGCTCACTGTCAGGGCACTGAGCTGAGCTCAGCGAGGGCCTGACCGACTCCAGCCACGGCGGCAGGACGTGGGTGCTGTCACCCACGCGCCGATGCCCTCCTTGATGCAGGACCCCCATCTGGTTTGGGTGGCGCTGCAAGAGCCCTGTCACTGTAACCCGCCACCAGGGCAAGGGGACCTCATCTCTGCTGCTGCCAGCACGAGGCTTTTGTGGGTGACAATGTGGGATGGGGGGAACATGGACAGCAATATGAGCGTGATGCTTGGGTGCTTAACGGGGTCCTCAATCTCCATCCCATGGGCAGCAACAGCCTTTCTACCATCAAGTGTCTTGAAGGGTAAAACTTAGCCCCCAGATATAACACAGATACCAGGGGAGATCCCCCAAGACACAATAATAAATAAGAAAAAAGAAACCAGAAATGCTAGGGGAAGGGGGGGGGAAAAAAAAAAAAAAAAAAAAAAAAAAAGAAAAATGAAAGAAAAGCAGCTAGGCTGCTCATACAGATTCGGATCACAGCATGGAGCTGGAGCTGGCTTGCCACGCAGTGCAAACCAAGGGCTGACCAAGGGATGTTTTCAAGTCCGTGTTATCAATGATGCTAATGCAGCGTTGGGGGCGAAGTAGATGACAATCCACTATTTTTCACAGGCCAAGCCATGTCCCCATGACGAGAGATGGATGCTGTGTTCTCACAGTGCCCACCACGACAGGGCCTCAATGCCTGAGCAGGATCAAGAGGTACCACAGCCACTCCTGCTCCTTCACTGGCAAACCCTGGCCCCACTGGGAGGGGCCAGGCTAGTGATGGGCTCTCAATGAAGAGACCTGAAATCCTGCCCAGAAGCAGATGAAATCAGACTCTTCCTCGTGGTTAAATTTTAATGGCTAAAATGACTTCAGAGCTGGAGCTTGTTGGCCTTGCAGTGCCTGGCTGTTTTCTCCGAGAGTCCCTGCCATCGGGGCTGAACAAAAGGTTGCACCAGGTTTTCACGGTCTCAGGAAGAGGCTGGCTCTGGGTCACGATCGTGGATGACACAACTGGTTCACCTTAAATACCCAGGACAGAAGCCACAGCACACAAGGGAGGTCATCTACCCACACACCAGGACTGGGCCAAGAGCTGGGGCAGGACTCCCCTGGGCCTCCTCTTACAGCTCCTAAGTACCAATCTCTTAAAATGAGCTTTGTGAGAGCCCTGAAATTCTTTCTGTATTTATGCCTTGAGCTCTGCATCACCCACGGTGATGACACAGAAACCACCGTGCATAGCAGGATGCAAGAGCTGGGTGTGGATTCTTCCAGCCCCATTAGCCAGGCACAGCCCCGCCATTAAAGACCAAGTAATTAGCCTTTGCGTCATTTGCGGGCAAGCCTTGATGTTTGCAGTGTCACATTTTAAGGCTAATTAGCAATGAGGATTCTCCTCTACCAAAGGCTTGGAGCCAGTTTGCTTGTTTTGTTCTTTTTCGGTCCGTCTTGGCAATTAGTTATTTCAGCTGCAAACAGGAGCCGTCACGAGCAGGGACAGGAGGAGGGATCCCGGACGCGGACAGGCTTCCAGCATGGCTGGCTGTGGGCCTGCTGGTAATCCACGGAGCCGTCCCACAATCGTCTGGAGGTCAGACTAAGGCGGTGCTGCCCCAAGGGACGAGGTGGACCTGGTGCACCCACATACCTCCATGTCTCTCACGTCCAGAGCAGCGAGCCCTGGCAGAGCTCATCCTGCTGGAAGCTGAACTCCAGCTCTGTTTTTACAGACACACACGGCACATTGGGGGGCACCAAGAATGCTCCAGTCCCCTGTGCAAACACACCTGGGTCCCCACTGGGCTATGAGAATCTGGACGTGAGACCGAGCTGGGACCCACAGTTCGCACGGTGGTACCCAGGGAAGGGATTAGCAATCCCCCAAATGATCGCAGTCGATAAAGCAAAGCTGTTCTCAAGAACTGCTTGCGAACAGGAGAAAGCACTGCGGCCAGAGTCTGCACGTCTCTGAGGCGGGAATGTGTCCATGGGAACAGCAGCTGGTGGCAAATCCTGCAGAGAGCAGGATGGAGCGCTGGGGGACGGGCACCGGCTGGATGCTGCAGTCTGAGGGGTTCTGCATGGGGGGGGTTGGATGTCGACAGCCCTGAGAATCCCTCTGGACACACGGTACCCGAAAGACAAGCATGTAAATCCAGAAATCTAAGTGTACGGAGCACTGAGCTTCACTGGTTTTATCCTTAAACTGGCTGATACAACAGGGGATGCAGAAGCAGAAAAACTTCTAGTTCTCACCCTGCCGCCAGCAGTGGCTGCCCACACCTCTGCACGCGGGCACGAACACACCAACCACAGAGAAAAGCCTGAGGTTTCTGTGCAGGTGCATCACCCCATGCCCAGGTCGATGGCGACGCAGTGACCACAGCACGGGTCCTGCCTACACTTCCCAAGGGCGACGCAAAGAGAGGTGTGTGGGCTGCACTCACTTTTCCCGGAAGGTCTCCTTCTCCTGTTCGCTCCACATGTTCATCACCTGCCGGTCCTTGTAGACCTTCATGGGGTCATCCATGAGGCCGTTCATGTTGATGAATTTAATGCGCTGCTGGTCAGCATCGTAGAGCATGGGCGGGATGACGGCGAGCTGGCGCATCTGCTTCTCCAGGTTCTTTGGGGAAAGCAGAGAGAACAGTTGGTCAGCACCACAGGCCCGCGGGGACCGCAGGGGACAGATGTTCGAGAGGAAAGGACAGGCGGAGGAACAGGAGAAATCAAAAGCAAGCACTAGACAGCTTTATTGCTGGAGTAATTGTAAATTAAACGCTGAAAGAGGCTATCGCTGTCAGCCAGGAAACAATTAATCTTTCATTTTGAAATAAAAGGCTTTAAGATACCATGCGGAAATGTCTGACTTAAGCAAAACAGCTCCTGACTGTGACAAGAGACAAGTCAAAGCGGCGGTGGCACAGGGAGTGCACGCCCCTTCCCAGCCATCAAACCCACAGGCACGTGGAGGTTCAGTCCCCCCCCCCCCAAGTCGCGAGGGAAGGAGGTCAGCTCTGCAAGGCTTTCTGAAAGGGTGGGCAGAGGGAGGCGTCGTGTTTCCCTTCCACAGAAAACCTAATATTGTTCCAGGAGGTTTCAAATGTCACCATAACGGGGCCGTCATTCCTTTCTTTCCTCTTACAGCAACACCCTGGGACATAATCTGATGTATTTACTCCATCCTGTTCCAAGTTCATCCAGAGTCCCAGCTGCACACCAGGACAGGACAGACTGGGCATATTGGTTTCCTTAAGTATTTGCAACGGAGTGGCCAATGGGATGTCTCACTTGTGCTGTCCCCTGCCCAAACGCCGGGACTGTCCCTTCAGCTGAGCTGCTGGTGCCTCCCCAGCACAGTCTGCCCTGTGGGGACGAAGGGATGCTCTGGCCACTCTTGTCTGCTAGCAGCACCGTCACCCTGAGCCCTCCCTGTCACCTGGGATGTCACTGGTCAGACATAAATCCCAACCTTGATCCAGGAAGACCAGGTCTCCAATGCTGTTATTTTAATTTACAGCTAGATGCTGGCTCCTGGGAGAACAGTAATGTCCAATCCTTCCAGTGAGTTGCTGACCCAGGCCTGCCCAGCACCCCTCTGCTTCTCTGCTGTGACTGATCAGACCCAACCTCCTCTTCCTAAAACACAGCCCTCTGCACAGACACAGACGTTTCAACTCATTTCATCACATTCCTTGCCCTCGCTTGGAAGCCTCCCATTTAGCAGCTGGCTGCTTCAGATGCCCTGGGGGTGTCAGCTCATCACTGGAGGTCAGGGACAGCTTGAAGCCAGAGCGTTCATCCTGAACAACCGCAGACTGCCCCCGCCGAAAGGAGAAAGCCCCCGTGCAGAGCTTGGTGGGCAGAGAGGCAGCTGCCCGGGCCTCTCCCTTCACCTGGCAGGCTCTCGGGGTGCCGAGCGCTGTGGATACACCTCGCTGGCGGGCAGCCAGCCCTCTCTCCTCTCCAGCAACGTGCCGGGGCGGAGAGCTGGCCCCTGCTGCCAGCAGCGCTCCCCGGCTCTCACCTCCCTGCTCCTTCCAACCCTGCGGAAGGGCTGGGAGCTCTCCTCTGAGACAAGTGAAGCGTTGCCTTGGGGCTCAGCAGAAGGCTATCGAGGTGGAGTTTAGCAGCACACTGTGCAGGAGGTCGGAGGTAATCGTCTAACGCTCCCCTTGGCCACCACCTCTGCAGAGCTGTGAAATTTCCCTCTGCTTCCGAGATCTGCCTCCTCCGGGTCGTCGCCTGAACTGGCTAACAGCAAACTGCCCGGGACACAGGGCAGGGAGCAAACCGCGGTGCACAGGCAGCAAACATCTCAGCTATTGCTGGGCAATGGCTGCTCTCCCCTCCCAAACGCGATCCATTCACTGCAGCTCGCCAGCGTGCCAAGAGAGTGGAACCCTTGTGAAACCAGATCCAAACGAAGCCAAGGTCATGGGGATGTTTCAAGATGAATGGAGCACTCCCAGAAGATGTGGGCCAACTGGCTCACGTACAAACCATTCATTCCATAGGATTCCCCTGTGTCAAGCTGCACAGCCCATTCAAAACAAAATGAAACAGAAAAACCCCTCCGCCCGGCAGCCAGGGCGCCGGCTCCCTTCCCTCCCCACCTCTGCTTCCAGTTTAAACCAACAGCCAGAAGGTGTTTGTGGGGTGCTACCCAGGATCAGCAGCATGCTGGTGTTTCGGGTCCCTAAGAGACAGTCAAAGGCTGACAAACCCTACCCACTGCCCACCAGCTCCTGGGGAGCTTTGCTCCGTGTTTCGCTCCTGCAGAACCCCTGCACAGCTCTGTTGCATCTCTCAGGTGGCTGGAAAGATGCTGCTGGGTATTAAACGAACACCCCACTTTGGATCCGGCCCAGAGAGCTTATTAAGCATCACGGCAGCCTCCCCATCCTCAGCGTGGCCTGAAATTAATGGGATTCGGTACCAGATTTCACCGTGGAACCCGGCATGGAACCTGGTGGTACCTTCCTGGCTTCCTCAGAGAACAGTGAAGTGAGGGGTGAAGAGAAGGAAAAAGGACAACCCAGTCTCACCTCTTGTTCTGAGAGCCCGTCGATGATTTCTGACACCTCGTGCTCGCTGCGTGCAGCCGACATGGAGAGCCCGCCGCTGCCCCTCTGTCCTACCCTGCTGGGAAAGGGCAGGGCAACACTCAGACACTGATGCTCCATCTTGTAAACCACATTCATGACAACTCACTAGCCCTGTTGTCCTCCTTTGTTGACCTCCATAACAGCCCTATCCCACCACCCCACCCAGGCCACCCCAGCCCACAGTGTGGGAACAGCACCCACTGCAGTTCCCCAGCACTTACTCCCACCTGGAGACCACTGTCCCCCGTGTCCACAGGGTTTAGGGCTCACAGCCTCAAACAACCTTCCTTACCTGTGCCAACAGCCACCTCCTGGATCACAACAGAAGGATACTTCATACCCAACCACACTCTCCCCTCATTATTTTCTCCTGTTTGCAGCACTGGCATAAAGGCATCACGGTTAGCACCGAGCCGTGAGCACCGCGCCACTGCATCTGGTTTGCAAATGCTGTAGGAACTTTTAAATCAAAACCATCCACTGACATCTTTCCCCCCCCCCCAGTAACACCCAACATAACAGCCATGCATCCCGAGGAATTAAAACTTCTCTTATTAAGCATGTAAAAGTTTAAAACATTTCTCAGTACCATTTCTCCCCTTCTCTTTAAGATAAAATAAAGCCACTGATTAGGAAGTTTGGACCCATCCAGCTGTTTGTGGGGCATCAAGATGGGATGCTGACACAAGGGTTTGGGTTCTGCACACATCAGGTGTCCCTGGGCAAGATCCCGGGGCTGAAATGGGAAGCATAGGATATTTTCATCAAGATAGGTGGAATTCATGAAATTGTGTCTCCTCTTGGCCAGAAACAATATGACCATAGTAGTGCTTCCAATGAGGGGGCAAAAAATGGACAGGGGATGAGACAGACAGGGGACATCCCTTTCAGTGAGACAGTTTGCTCCTTCCATAACATCTGTGCTCATTTCTATAACCTCTGCAGACCTTTCTTCTCCCCGCCCATGCTCTGATCAAAGCATGTGAATGTATTAAATCACCGGTGTGACCAAATCCATCTGCAAGTCTTGTACATCTCCATTTAGGCCCACCAGTAAGGCAGTAATTAGCACCATCCAGGCCAGGTTGGCCAGCACAAGGGAGCTGCCCCCTGCTCTGACGTGTCCAGCCGGGGAGATCAACAGCAGAAGGGAGATGGGCAACCACATTCCTGACATTCTTCCTTCTCTCTTGGCTCCGTGCTGAGCCACCCTGGGGAAAAAGCAGCAAAGCTGCTTCTCTGCTGGTTTCTGCCTTCGACTAGAAGGGGAGAAAAGGGACCAAGAGGCATCCCAGCCTGCTCCTCTCATGAACAAATCCCACCCCCATCCCCAAAGAAAAGAGAAAGGCTGTCTGATACCAGCTCAGCCCCTTCCTACCGCTTCTCCTCTAACCTCTGCATGCGCTCTTGCAGTTCCCGCTGCTTCCGGATCTCTGGGAATTGCTTCTCATAGTATTCCCGCACTTTGCTCTCTTTGGCACGGCGCCGGGGGTTATTTTCAATGCGCTCCACTTTTTTTTCCCAGGCCTCCATCAGCTGGTCATAGCGCTGGCAAAACTTCTGTTCCTGAAAGGGCAGAGGGAGAGAGGTTGCTCAGGAGACGTGCCTGGGAAGGGCAGCTCCTCCAGGCCTGTCCCTTGATGGCTGCTCAGGCTGAGCATGAGTCATGTTGCTTAAAGCAATATGGTTTATTAGGACATGGACACGCTCCAGGGTCTGGCACCAACCCAAGGGTAAATTCTCAAAACAGGCCATCAGGTACCCTCACGCTTTTCCCTTCCAGACCCAACATCTTTGCTGAAACCAAGGACTCTCGCCCAGTGTGGCTTTGCCCACCCACCACACCTTCTGCCCGAGCATCCTCCAGCACTTTGGGTGCTTGATTCAGCAACCAAAGCACCAGTGCTGGGGACAGAGCCCCTGCTCCGACACGGCTGGCCATGCACGGGGAGAGGACAAGGCGCCTGCCTGGGGCCACCAAGCAAGGAGGGATAGAAACACGGCCTTGGGAGGGGACACGGGAGGGCAGGAGAGCCAGTCCCCGCCGCACAGGGCTGGGTAATTTCAGAACCACCACCTTCCCTGACCAGAGCCACCAGCTCGCTGTGCTGGGGAGAGGCTGGCCGCCGCACAGCTTGCCGAGGTGCTCGCGGCCAGGCACCCCTTTCTTCCCACCACACACACCAGCCCCGGCGCTCACGGCTCAGCACCGGCAATGCCAGCGGGACTGGGGCCACAGGGCACCTCCGAAAACAAGAGCCGGGCACCCGGCCCCTGTCTGAGAACAAGTGTTGTGGTGGCCCTGCCATGCCGTGATGCCACCAGCTCCTCCACCATCCTGGAAAGTAAAAGCATTTTGCTGGCTGCTGCTCCTTTTTGGCCCAGGAGCAGGATGAGCACATCCCCACTGAGGGTAAACCCAGGCTCTGCTGAAACACGGTGCAGCAAGGGGTTTCCATGACTTGTCCCCCTGGGCGACACCCTCACTGCACACCCACCTGGCCACCCACACAGGTCCAGCACCATGCTCCTCCCTGGTATCGATGGGATCAGCCCAGTGACCATAACATTAAAATATCATTTGCAACACAAAGGAGCCTAACACCACCCCCCGAATCGCTCTACCCTCCCCTGGACACCCTCTTGCTGGAGGAAGATGCCCAGGGACAAGTGAGAAGATGCCCGGCCACAGTCCCGGATGGCTGCAGCAGTGACAGGAGTGATGGCACCCAGCCTCACGTGAAAGCAGCTGGGCGACCAGAAGGGGTTTGAAGGTTTCATTCTGAGTGAAGCAAAAGCCTTCTGTGCCCCAAATCAGGAAGCGAAAGCAGATGTCATTTTGCAAAATAATCAATAGCAAACCCCAGATCACCTCCCGCCCCCCATCCTGCTTTCCAGAACGGCTGGCTCGGCACCAGCACACTCAGCACTGCGCTCAGAGCTGCAGCAGAGACAGGGGGAATGCAGATTTCCAAGACTCGTCTCTTGCCATCACCACCCCATGACTGGAGGGATGTCCAAAGCTGTAGGATTTCCCAGATGCGCTCTGCTCTCGTCCTGCTCACTCTCAGCCACACAATAAAGGGGAGAGGTAAAAAACCCCCAAATTGGGTAACGCCCAATTGCAGGGCAGGAGGCAGCTGGGTTACCCCAAGCCAAGGGCGTCAGTCGTGCCGTGGACCCCGAGCGCCGGCAGCTCCGTGGCCCCGTCCCTGGTGCCAGGCACCCGCAGCAATCCACGGCCAGCGTCACACCGATCCCGGCACGTGAGTTTGGTCCAGCCATCCTGGACCTTGCAACAGCCCAAGCGCAGCAACACGTCCTGTGATCCCCGTGACCTTTTGGATGCACCTCAACAGCAGTGTGGGGTGGACAAAACCCCTCAAACCCCACAGCTGATGCAGTCTAACGCTCCCTCCCTGCAGAGAAACTAATTCCCATTTGCACAGCCAGAGCCAGAGACTTTCCTGCCCTGCACGGATGTACAGAAGATGCTTGGGTTTCAGCAGGAGCTAAAGGAAATGGCTGTGCAATGAAAGAGAGGGATGAGAACAAAAATAAAAATGCCCTAAAAGCCACCAATCTCATGCTGCGGGCAAGGAGCTATAGGTAATGCCAACAAACCGTGGCAGCTCGGAAAAATCACAGCTGCTGCATTTTTACCCCTCCTGAAGCGATGCTATCGGCCCCTTGAAAATGAGAGCTCCCACCCTGCCAGCAAATCTGCTACATCCTCCTGCTTTCAGAGCATCGCATTTGGGAAGAGGCTAAAAATACCCCGCAAAGTTTATCAAGCCTCAGCGCCGGGAGGCAGCCAGTGCCCTGTGCTGTGTGCCAGCCCGTGGCGCGGCCGGGGAGCAGCCCAGCATGAGGGCTCGGTCTGGTGAAAAGCTTTGAGGCTTTGAAAGGTTTTTCATTCCCCGTGGGAACGAACCAGCGCTGAGTCCCGCATCGCCACCGCCCCGGCAGAGCCGCCTGGCACGGCTGCCGGGCTGTTTCACAGCCAGCGGGGCGGCTCTTTTTCTTCCTTTTCCTCCACTCTTTGGGACAATTTGATGAAAGCTTTATCCAGAATTCCTCTTTTAAGGAAGTGGTATTTGCAGACGGAAAAGAAGCAACATCAACGTCACACCGCTGATTTCCCCAGCAGCTCACACACTGGCAGCAGGGCGGGCAGTACCAAAGCTCCCCGCTCACCCGACTCAGCCCTCCCAAGCACAGCTCTGTTATGGACCAGCCAAACACTTCTGACTTGCATCTGCTTTCTTGAAGCCCCTTCCCACCATGGAGCAAAGAGATTCTTCCTGCCACGCAAGCTTCAAACCCTGCCACAAGTGGGGCTGGTCTGCAGCATCCCTCTCTAACGCTTTTTGGTCCAGCTGGGATACATGCTCCCTGCAATCTTTTGCCATCCTTCAGAAGCCAAGATTACAGGCACCTGATAGCACTGCGCATTCCCCAGATCTTCACAGCTCCCTCACCAGGAGAAGCCCCCAGTCAGGCACTTCAGGAGCAGAAGCATCTATTCCTTCTTCAAGCATCCTCTGAGCAGCCTTAAGCAAGCATGTCCATTCCTGAGCAACTGCCTGTGCCAGCTTTTAGCATCGGTGCTTCCTCTGCTCCCCTTCCCAGCTGGGCGCACCAGCCCATCAGCCTCCCAATCACACAAGCAAGTGATGGCGAGCCAAATCGGACTTGACATGCGTATCTAAAAATGGATGAATAGTAACGCCGCCGTAGCAGCTGAAGGCAGTTTGTAGGCTGTGCCAAGCCCGAGCCCTCCCGCAGCCCACGCTCGCGCAGCTCCAGGGAACAGAGCAGCTCTTCGGAGAGGAGGGGAAGAGCGAAGGTGACAGGAGGAACCAGTCCAATTCTTATGCAAGCCCCACAGTTTTCTCTCCCTGGCTGATGGAGACAAATCTCTCACAGCCAGCACAGCTCCCTTTATCCTTCTCTCTGTGCAGCATCACCCCTCTGATGGCAATCAAACGTCTCCTGCTGTTCCGATGTTGGTGGAGGCAGGAGGAAGCCCCGCAGATCCTCTGGTGGGGCTCTCAGGGCTCTGACCCTGCTCCAGCCAGCCCTGGGCAGCGACCATACCCCAGAAAGTAAAAGAGCCAGAAAGAAACGCTGGCACGTAGATGGGCTTTGCTAAAAATAGGGTCTGCTACAAAATAGGCAGAAAAATAGCTAAGCGTACCCATTTTGCAAACAGAATCAGCAAATGTATTCACTTTGCAAATTCAGCAACCGTATGTTGCCTATTTTGTAGAATAGGCAAAATGCTTCCCTAAACTGAAAAATCCCCTTTCAAGGACACTGAATAAACCGGCTGGCAGAAATTCACCTATTTTGCATGACAGGCGACTTCACTGCAAGCCGTATTTTAGGAACCGCGCTCTTGCAGCCTAATTAAACCTTTTCCCCCAGCTCCTCGATATTCACAATAGAGCGACTCACTCTAGATTTTGTGCAGTAACCGGCCATTTCCATCAGAAAGCAGCTCCTGGGCACTTCCCTTCTGGTTCCAATAAAACCACAGGAAGCTTTGCAATCCCTGTTTTGAGGAAGGGAATATTGATCCGCTTCCCACAACTGCAGAAGTGCTCAGCTGCGGCAGGCGAGGTGCCCTGGGCAGCACTGGCTGCCACGCCGCGTCGTGTGGAAGGTATAAGCCCTGCAGCCCCTTGCTAGAAACCTGGAAGAGTTTTATCATGGAGAAGACTGAATAAACACGTATTCGGACACGAACGGGAGACACAATCATCCCTTTGGAGTGCAAGATCTGTGGCTTTTGGAAGATGGCTACAAAATGGGGAGAAAATAAGAAGATAACTTGATTGCTGGCTTAGAAATGCCTGTGTAAACAGCCTTACTGGAATTTGCTTTTAAAGGCAGAGCCTTCCAACCACTTCCCAGCGCTGATTATTTTGAATTTTTCCAACAATTCCTCCCAGCTGGAGCACTTCTGTCCAAAACCACCACCGAAGACACTGAGAAAACCTGCACCATTGGCAACTTAAGACACGAACGCCAGCACCAGAGCCTGCCCCAGAGCAGAGACACCAAGTCAGGAACTGGTATTTACATCTTCCACGTAAAATGTGAAGCCCTGCGTCATGAGCTGAATCACCCTTCATGGAAAGACACTGCAAAATCCACCTTCCCAGTGGGGGCTATTGGTTCCCCTTCTGTGCTGGTTTTGCCTCCCAGCTCCTGCTGGGGACTACAACAGGCAACCATCTGTGCCAAAAATGTATAAATTCTGTAAATCCCACCTGAACTTTCCCCTCTATTTACTAGGGACTTGCAACAAACACCTCTGAAGTCTCGTAATAAAGCCCACTTTCCTCCTTACCTAACCAAGAACCATTTCCTTGAAGGATATTGGAACAATCCTGCAGGCAAAGACGCCTAGAAATGAACTGGCGCAGAGCTTGATTTTTGTTTTAAGCCACAAATTCCTAGAACATCGCTCTGTGGTCAGCTGGAAAGTCAGACCAGTCTTCAGAACATTTATAGGAAGCAGAGTCAGCTTGTTTCACACCTCTCTTAAGGTTCAATTACTCACAAAATAGACATTTACGCTGTGAATAGGCTCTCTGAGATCAATGAAGGGCTCTGCTGTGATTAAGCGAACCTGATGTGTTTGCTCTGCAGGGGATCCTTGCAGAGGGAGGTGCTGCCTGCAGCAGGATGGGGGACCTCTCCTTTACATCCAAGTTATTTTTAGCATAGGAGATGCCACAGCAATGCAACAGGCAAAGTACTGAGCACCAGCATCTCTCTGCTGGAAAACATCCTTTTTTTTTCTCACATAATAAATTACGCTGCTTTATAAATATAAAGTACGGTATAGGGGAACGACTTACCCACTGTTTGCGAGCATGATTTCTCCTCTTAAAGTACAAAATTAACTTTTTCCGCATTGCCTGGTTTCTGTGGAGAAAAAAATAGATGAGATCCGATTAACAAAGCCGCTAAAATCCAAAATCTGGCTCTCCTCACTCCCAAAGGAGTTCGTAGCACAGTTTCCACCTTAACTCAGACTTGCATCAACTTCAGAGCAGCAAATGCAGTTATCTAGGGACTTCGTTCCAGCTTACTGAAAGACCAACAAACGCTCCAACACAAGGAACTTCAGCCACATCTATTGGTAAAACCAGGACTAAGGTTGAGAACTAAATTCATAAACTCTCAGTTCTGCAAACCTTTGCTGTGTGCTCAGCGCTGAACACGGGCAGACGTTCAGCTCTGCATTTACCAACAGGCCAGGCTGGTTTTTGATTACATCTTGACCTGCAAAAACCCGATGGGCCCCCATGATCTGGGGGGCTCGGGCCAAGCTCTGCATGGCAGGAGATGGCTCCCCCCAGCACCCTGAGCCACCCCGCTCCCCAAGGCCAGCAGCGAGGGAGCTGTCAGCGCACACACACGCTTGAAAGGGGTTATTCACCCCTGGGCTCCGACGGGCTGATAAGGAGGCAGGATTGCAGCAGGGCTTGCAGCACATATCTCCTAACCTCTTGCTTTTTTGGAGCCATGCCTAACAAAGCTGCAAACAAACCAGCCAGGAAAGTTCAGCCACTTGCAGAATTGGGACCTCAAGAGAGAAACTAGCCGCTGCAACCACAACTAACCCGGCATCTGCCCAGACACTACCCTGGTTTCTTCTTCTTTCTACTTTCTAAAGCCGGCATAAAATACTTGCTCAAAGAGAAGCAGCGCCAAAGCAGTAAGGAGCTGGAGAGGCTGCAAGAGCTCCCAGAGTCTGCACGAACCCAAGAGCTGAGCTCCTGCAGTTGTTCCTGTTACTAATATTCACAGCCATAAAATCTCCAGGTAAAAGGTAGAGACCAGGGGCAGAGGAGTTTCCTTAAGTCTTTTATCCCGATTAAAGGCAGAGCTGCAGTGTGTAATTACTGATCAGGAGCTTAACAGTCTCATGTAGGCATGTTCTGCAGGATTTAGCAGAATGAAGACACCCTCGCTGCTTCCTCATTCCCCTCCCCCTGTCTCATCCCCCTGGCTAGTGGGGAAGGAAAAAAACACCTTCCTCCCCCCAGAAATCTCTAAAGCTAATCAGCAGCAAAAGGCACTGGGGAGGATCAGAGGATCCAGCTCACTTAGAGGAAGGATTGGGGACAGTCCTGTCTTAGTCTGGGGATGGAGAGCATCCCAGAAAGTATCTAAAATTTTCACTTCTCAAGCTTCCTTCTCACTACATCACTAAAACCGTGTGTGGGCCCATACGGGGAGTGACAGCAGTCCCACAGCAAGCGCTGCCCTGGGGAGCCCAGGTCCCTCCAGCCCAGGCTGTACCTCTGCTCCAGCAGCGTGCCGGGGGACCCCAGCCTGCTGGGACACGGTGCAGGGCCTGGGGGCACCACTGGAATACTGTCACCCAATAATTAGCAAGTTTATTTACAATAGAAATTCCTTGGGTGTGGGGTTTTCAACCACCACTACCTCCAAGACCACATACGGCTGATAGAGGAAAGGCAGCAGAATTTGGGTCAGGGATCATTTCTTATCCAGCACCCCACAGGCACACTCAGCTTTGTGGCTTCTTTTTAGTTTACCAAGGAGGAAACACATCAGGCTTCGTTCTCAGTCCTAACAGTACCATTTGGATTTTGTAACCTTCTGTTTTCCTGTCTCAATTAGTAACTAGAGGTACAAGATACACGCGTAGTCCCTGAACACCACCTGAGCTGCACTACATCTTCATTCCCCTTGGCTTTGCCTTGAACACTCTGGTACAAAAATAGACCTTGGTTTCCAAGGCAGTGCTAGCAAGGGGCACTCGTAACTCCCCCTGTAAATGGAAAACACCAGTTACCAGCTGGGAACAGACTCCAGTATCCCCAGCTCGAGCCACTGGTGGGTAGAGACACACAGGCCCCACCAGCTCCCAATTCCGGGCCACATCAGCAGAAGGCACAGCCAAGCAACAGGGCTGAAGGCTCCTGCTGAGCAGACACTTGGATCCACAAAGGCTTTCTGAGAGAGGGCTTGAATATCAAGCCAGGTCCTTTGATTCTGTTTCAGAAATCAAAGTGGCATTGATCACTGGGGGGACACAAAAATCTAATCAACCCATGCATGGGAAAATTTCTGCCTTTGCTCCTTTTTGACAGCGTGTTTACAAAGCACCCGCCGTTGTTCTGGGCTGCACTGCAAAGACCAAAGGCCACCTCGTTAGGTACATTAATAAACATTGCTGCTGAAGGCTTCTCCCTGATGGATCACACACCACCACTGTCTTTTGTTTCTGTCTGTGCGGTGCATCCACTGAGGAGCTGCAGAGAGGATTGAAGGCAACTGGCTCAGCTAAGCCTCACCGCTCACCTGTGCAAACATCACTCACTTGCCTTTAAAAATGAGGGAAACCGAGGCACGGAGCTGCAGCGACATCTGCCTGTTTGTGCAGGGAGGGAGGCACGAGAAACGAGGAGTGGGGCCGTGCTGTGCCCAGCGCTCCAGAGCATCCACCTCCCGGACCCGCAGGCGAGGTCGGTCCGGCCGCGTCCAGCACCCGTTTGCCCGCCCCGCACACCGGGCGCTCCTCCCGTGCTCCCTTCCACACCCCTCAGCATCACACACGGCGAGCTTTCAGCACCGTGTGCTGCCGCAGCCGGCAGCAAATCCTTCTGCAGAGACCCCCCGGCACGGATTTCCTTCCAAGGCTTCAGCTCTGCACGAACAGGCTCCAACAGGAGGCTGTGCCCAAAAGACACATTCCCATTCTTTGTTTGTTTATCCCAATTCTGATGGAAACTCTAGTATCACCCCAGCAGATTCCCAGCGTTAACGATGATCATGTGTGCGACCGGCCCCAGCAAGGGGTCATGGATTGTCCCTTGGGGCCAGCACAGCTAAACCAACCCCTGCCCTCCACACCAGCCTGGGCGACATCCAGGAGCAATGCGGGACTTTGACACGCTGCTGCTAAATCTGCCACACGAGTTATCAGGAAACAGGAGAGTAAATGAAGAAAATTAGCAGCTCTTATGCAGCTGATGGGTTGCCTTGAGTTTTGCATCATGGCTGACCTTGAAAGTGCTAATACAGGCAAAGATTTAATGGCTCCGCAGCTGCAAAAATTAGGAATGCCTTGAAAGCTGATGTATGTTTACCACTGCCAAGGCTGAAGTAATCAAAGAATGAAAGGATTAAAAACAACAACAAAACCCCCTCATGCCCTAAATGTTTTTGCCACTCTTTTTTTTTTTTTTTTTTTTTGGCATAAGGTCAACCTTTCAAAGGTTAATACAATCCCAGTAAATATAAATAGGCTTCACAGTTTATCTTGCTACATGTACTGCTGTTACTTAGAAACCATTTGCAGAGAGGTTAATTCGGGCCACACGCCTCCGAAGCACACGCTGTGCTCCCTGGGCAAATCAAAGAGCCAAGCACAACTGCTGCAGCACAGGCGGGGAAGGTAAGGGCTGTCTGCTGGGAGCCTTGCACAGAAATAACCAGTGTGGAACAGCACATGGGAAAGGTCACTCTTGCAACACGCCAACCCTCCTTCATCATCCTCCTCGGCAGCCTGAATCCTTGCAGCTCCCTGCCTGAGGGTGGCTGGGGCACAAGGAAAGTGTCAGGGATGGAGACCTGAATGGCACAGCCGCCACAGGGTGAGGAAATCAGGCAGCTCACAGGCAGAAGGGCTGGAGGCTGCTTAGATAAAGCAACAGTGACTCTTGTGGACAGTTTTAAGTATTGCTGGGCTGGCACATCACACACCAGCCCGGGCTGGGAGGGCAGGCAAGTTCCCTGCCCCGTCCGCAGCAGTGCCCCACGCAGGGCAGGGGCAGGCTGCGATGGACCCAGCGAGGCACGGAGCCTGCCCAGCTTCTGGTGAGCTGGTGCCTGGGGGCTGCCAGATGGCACATCCCCATCCCTGCGGTCAACAATTCGTCTAATTATCGCTGGAGCCCACTTGCACTTCTGCCCTTCCCGTGGCCGTGGGCTCCACAGCTCCCTGGTGTACCTGGGGGGAAAGCCCTTCTTTCTGGTGGGCTCTCAGCCTCACGTAGCATCCCCCAGCACCGGCTGCAATAACACAGGCCATACACATTCCCCACTCGCCTACTTCAGCGCAGCCCCAGTCTAACACTTCCCTCTGAGGGCAGCTCTTCTCCAAGGTGAGGGTACCACGAACCGTTACCTTCTCCATGCCAAAAGCTATTTCAGCCCTTTGGTCACCAGAGGAGATTTTCCTGCACATTCTCTGTGCCTCTCCAGGGAGGGGGGAAACCAGTCAGTGCGGGTCACACAACCAACACAACCTTCTCCAGACAGACACTGACCTTGTGAACTTCTGCAGACTCCCAGGCATGGAGTTGCCTCCAGACAGTCCCCAAAATGGGGGCTCTTGGCCACACTCGGGGAGATGCACCCTCATGCTGGGAGCCCAGAGCTTCTGCCCCTCTCAACTGCTCTGCAAACTCCTCGAGGATTTCTGTCCCTGTTGCTGGTGAACTAACCCAGCGATCTCCTTCCATCAGCCCTGTGGGACGAAGGTAAGCCGAGCCTGCCACTGAAGCTGTGTGAAATTCAAGGTTTTTCCCACATCAGAGGCCCATTTGTTTCCAGTCCCGTGTGACAGAGGCTCTCAGGAGCAGCCTGGACGTGTGTAGCAAGAGCCCCAGTACCAGGCACCAGCCTGAAATGGGGCACAACCCAGGTGGGGAGCCTGGGGCAGCCCCACCAGTGCCCAGCACTTCCCCACAAGCATGGGCATGCAGAAGCAGGGAACAGAGATCAAATAAGACAAACCAAACTCAAAACTTGATGCTTGATTGTCACCTGCCACCAACACAGGAAGCAGGATTCAAATACAACCTATAATTTTCGGTGTGATTCCGCAAGAGCTTTTTGTTCTTGAATAACTCATCCTCATCTCACCGTCCCACTGACCTAACTGG